TGTTGAAAGTGCAAGGATTATGAAAGTCACGTAGACTAGTCATAGGTGCAAGGATCTCTCTCTCACACACACACACAATCGCCTGGGGCGACGAATTCCGTTTTAAATGCGCTCAAATGCGCAAATAAATTTAAGAGGCGATGCTCTATTGCCACGCCCACTTTATCCCAATGGCATCTTCAGTGTGTTGTGCTGGTGTGTGTGTGTGTGTTGCCGCTAAGCGGATTTAGCTGAGAATTCTGCCACAACAACAACTAGCACACGTCCTGAGAGCCCGACAAACACACACACACACACAATGGAGGTAGCCCACAGACACACATCATGACATCCTTTTATTCGAGTGTGTATAGGTTACAGCCCATTGACAGTTACCGTTAACTCTTACAACTCGCATTTGAAGGATTTCGGAATTTCGGCAGGACGAAGTCGCGTTTTCCATTGTGCGATCCCCCACATAAATGGTCTTTAATCCTCCGAGGATTGCGGGCATAATTCCATCAAGAGCTTTTAGTGGCAGATTAGCCGGGAAATTCTGGTTGCCACAATTGTAAGGATAACTACATTTAAGTTTACATTTGCCTGCATTTAATTGATGGCCAGACATAAATCACTTTTAAAGGCTTTCTTATAAACAAATCATTAATGGCTAAAGATTTTACGGAAAAGTGCCTTGAACAAAAATAATCTCTTGAGTAAACAAACAAAACTTTCAAGTATAATTTAATTTTTCAAAAGTCTTACATATTTCTAAAATTATAAAAATATAAGAAAGAGTAAAATATTATGGTCAAATATTAATTAAACTTGAAGGCTTTTCCACAATTTTGATTTTTGAAGGTACTGTATAAATGTTAAATATTAACAAAAAAGAACATTTATTTACACAGCTTCTTCATAATATTGATTTAGTGTGTGTCTTGAACATTAATAAAGTGTTAGGTAAACAAAAAGATATCTTTGTTTGATTTTCTTGGTACTTCTACTACATTCTTAAGAGAACATATATCATTGGGATTTTATTACACATGAGTTAGCAACAGCTTACATGTTTTCCTCAATGAGATTCCAAAAATATGCACTTGAAATTTAATTTTCGGCATGATGATTAAGTCACCTTAAAATATTTATTTGAAGGACTATCGCTGCGCAATTCCCCAGATAAGAGTTAAGGTTTCTGGGTAATATTTTATGGCTGCCGGCATCCGCTGGAAAAGCATCCGGTTCGACAGTATTTTTGTACACTTATTTATAACGTTTTTTATAACGTTTTTCATGCCGATTTCCGATTATCAGACTGCATCATCGTTGAACGTTTGAATCGTTTCCCCACTGACGTCAATCCCTGGGTTCCCTTCCCTTTCGTTTGATTAAAAATAAACTTTGCATGGGTAGGAATCCGTTTCACTTACTCCCCAATTTTTTGTCATAAAAAAAAATGCTAAAAACAAACTATATATAATTGATTTATTGTTTCAACAACATCCCTTTTGTTTTTCCGTAATTCCCCCGCCGGCTGTTTTTATACGATTTTCGTTCGCTCATGCCCATATAATATTTTTTTTTCGTATGCGTTAAATGCAAGCGGCAACATAAAAAAGGCAAACAGCACTCTTGTTAAAGGGATCAACGCCCAAAACACAATGGTCAGAGATTTATGATGGACAAAAAAGTCCTTTAACACATTTGAACGTAGGGATGGACCAATTTTTATAGAGTTTTGAGACTTGAAAAAGGTAAAATATTAAAAAAGGAGTGATAACTTACAATTATAAATCGTTGGTTGGTTTTCAATTTGGATTGGATATTAATTTATCTTAGAAGCCTTTTTCAGCGTTCATTAGAGATGCCTATTTTAATTTACCACTTAAATTAAAAAAGGCTTAATCAAAATAACTTCTAAGGACCAATCTTTTTACTCCATTCACAATAAAATCAAACTAAAAAAAGGTCAATAAAATAACTGAAGGAATAAATGTGCATTATTACTGATTGTGGTTTTTGAAATTGGTTTTTAAAATAAAGGGTTGATAATAATTGACTTTCACTCTGCTGCCCACGGAAACATTCCAATCACAATTTGTGCTAATAAATTGTAAAATTTTCTCTTGCCACCCACGCCCACTTTTTCATCAATTTTTCCGCCTACCGCCCCATAAAATTCAAAACAACACAAAAGCTCAGCTGAGCTAAATGGGAAGCCAAGAGTGATTAATTAGTCGCGCTGGAAACGGATTCACCTGCTTTATGAAACAATTGAAATTTGAGCACTCGCGACAATTGTGACCCGGTACTAAATGTTTGACATTTTACCCATTCCAATATTGCAATCAATTTACGCAAATTCGCAACGCATCTTGGACTTATTTAAAGCTCTTCACGTCCTCGAAAATCGATTAAAACCCTATGATCTTTCCTTTTGAAGTCCCCAGCTCCCAACTCCTGTTTCAAAGTCTTGGTTTAATAAATTTCATACCAATAAAAGCTCAAGCCCATGGAAATATGAGACTGAGGAATTTGTTGATTTCAACAAACAAAATAAACGCAAATTGAACAACTATTTGGAAATAAAATGAACTCAGCCATATCAATAGGTAAATTGTATTTTAGATTTATATAGTTTTAAGAACTTTACTTAGAAAAGCATAATAAATTGTAATGTGATTCAGTTTTTTTGTTCTTAAAGAAACTGTATCAAAACTATTGCAAATTAGAGAATTAACTTTAACCTTTCCTTGATGTTAGTTTACTTTTGCTTGAACACGGCTGTATGAGTGGCTTATGGCTCAGACAAAACGACAAGGACTTATAATTAGATGGAGAGCCCTCAACATGGTTTAATTTCCGTCATTTTCTGGGCCACTGTCCACCCGGCGGGGCTTCACTGTGCCCCGTTTATTGCGGTTGAGACTCGCTCTCCGAAATAGACCCATTTTGTTTACGCTTGGTTCTTTTGTTTAAACACTTGCTAGCAAACTCGCAGCTGATAAACAACTTTACGGCGCTGGCACTATTTGCACATTACGCATACGCCACCGAGCGCATCCGAGCTCCATATCCAAATCCAAATTCAAATTCAAATCCAATCCGAAATTCGCCCCTGCATCCGCATTCACATTTTATTTGTCCTCGTCGCCCTCGCAGAAAACATTTGACACAGTTCGAGCGAGGCAACTTTTGTTATGCGAAAGTGAAAATGGCGAGTGAAAATGGGCGAAACACTTGAGGAGCGAAGGAAAAGGTTTTCCGCCATGTCGTTGCACTGCGAAAATCACAGGAACAAAGCAGTTGTCAATTTCATTTGTATAATTGCAATTAAAAAGAGAAGAATATTTTTAGGAATGATTGTAATAGGATATTTCTGTTACTTACTTTGGAATCTTTTTTAAAATCAAATCCAAATCTTTTTTACTCCAAATCAATACATTTTTCAATTCAATTTTGTATAACAAATATAAAAGAATTTAATAATAATTATAATGTCTACACATCATTGGAATGTCTACAAAGGATTATGGTTGGATTTGAATTGCTTTATGAAATATGTATAATAAATTTCATTGGCATCATAACAAATAAAATTAAGAATAAACAATGAAAAATCTATTTAATTAGTTGCCAACTAACTTTCCCAGCATCTTATTAGATTAATATAGTTTAGACCCTCAAAAACTTGAGCCTAATTGACTTTGGAATTTGTTTTTCTAAGTGCAGCCGAAACAGTGAAGTGGACAGATGTGGTCGAGATGGGATTGCAGTATCGCAAGTGGCACAATTTGATTACAAGAACGTTTAAGTTGGCCGCAGGAGTCTGGTTTCGATAATGAGGTGGACAGGTGACGGAGATGGCGATGGCGACTCTGGCGGGGAACTCCCACCTCAGTTTCCACAGTTCATTAGGGAGAGAGTCAGGGACATTTAAAGTCCCTGCCACGGCACACAAAAACACTTCACGCGGCACTTTGGACAATGCTAACGAGCTCCCACATCGTCCTTATATATAGTTTTGTACATATGCAGTGCACACTCTTGAAATATAAATACAAAATGTCGTTTCCTCCGCAGTTTGCTTGTAAGATGCAATGTGCAACCCCAATTTTTGGGGGAAAAGCGGGAAAGCGGGCAAATGGGAAAACGGGAAAATGGAGTGGCGGACAGCTTGTTTACCATACAATAGAAAAGTCTTAACAAAATATGACATGAGTAAATATTTGGACCGCAAATGATTTGATATGGATTTGTCAGAATCAAGAGTTGAATTTGCTCCGCTTGGGTTCATAAATATTTATCCGAAAATATTGCAGATGCGAGTGCATATTTTCCATTTGCGCAACTCATTTGCAGGCTGCGCAACAAGTTTAATAATAATTGCGGATGATCGTTAAATTGTTAGCAATGAGATGGACTCATTTAAATCTATTTTGTAGTCCAATTAAACCAATATATACTACTGTACTTTACTGTACTTTTGGTAATAAACCATTAAAAAAACTTTTATATTTTATATATGAAAAAAAAATTATTTACTGCCTAAATAATGAAGTAAGGAGTCATAATATTCTAAAACTTCTTGCTCTAAAATTTTTAAAAACTGGGAAACTTAGCATTTAAATGTGAGTTCGTTCCTTATAACTTGCGTAATTATTTTTGAGTTCTTCATTTCTAATGTAATTAACAGTATCAGAAATTATTCTTAAATATATGTATTAATACCTCAAATAGAATGTACATTTCAAACGCTGGATGATTGCAATATTGCTGATAAATAAAATAATGTTCGAAACCTCCACCGGCAACTGATAATTTTCCACAACTGTTTTAATACTAAGGTAATTATTTCGTAATGAAACCGTTTGGCCAAGATTAAAGCAAACAATCGGGCCAAATAATGAATAAATACAAAAAGGCGGGCAAACAACACACAAATAGAAGAAGTGTTTTTATCGCCAAAATGGTATTTAACCCGTTGAAAGTTTGTTTGTTAACCAATTAACACTCACCCGCCGGTTTTGCTGCTACGACTGCTGGTGTTTTTTTTTTGTTTTTGTGGATTTCGGACTGGATTCAAATATTTGTTGGATTTTCGTTGGATTTTTCAAGTGTTTTCGGTGCTTAATATTATTGTGTTTCTTTTCCAAAACTCGCGTTTATGACACAGCAAAAAAATGATAGTTGGTTGAACTTTCGAAACGTTTTCGAAAGCGGGTTGAAATTAATTGGGAATTTGCCTCTGTTAATTTGTTGCTGGAAAAGCGAAACGAACGCCACGAGTGCCGAAGCCGTTATGACAGAATCTGGCGAGCAGCTGGGCAACTTATCCTTAGCGGAAAAGCGGAAAAAGCCGAGCGGAAAGCCATGGCCCGATTGCCATTCGGCTGTCGACCATTTTCTCAGTGTGCAACTGCACTGAAAATCGAACAAATCTCTCGCTCTTTCCTCTCTTTTTGCTGTTTCAGTGTTTCACTGTTGTTTGTTTGCCTGTTTGTTTACTGTTTACTGCTGCCCCTGCCGCTTTTCCCGCCTTTTCCCGCCTTTTCCCGCCTTTTCCGCCTTTCCCAGCCGTAAAATAAAAGTGAAAATAAATTTCCGTTGCCGGCAACAAACTCACAAACACACGCAAAATAGCTATGAAAATAACTACATTCAAAAAAAATAAATAAAACAACTAAAACAAAGACTGGGACAGTTTTAGACTTTTAACACGCGTTTCTTCAAAAATAATGTAAACAATCGCACAGAGCTGCTGGTGCATTTCTAAAAACAGAAACGATTGCTGAGCTGGATTTCCTTATTTATGAAATGCAAATAAAGCTATGAAACTAAAACAAAGCCTGAAACGTGTTTATAGACAAAATAAAATTACTCTAATCATTTTTGTATGCTAAATAAATAAAGAAATCAGTTAAATAACTAAATTATTTGTTAAATCAAATCTACTATTATATATATTATATAATAAAATTAATTTTGTATTACTTGTCATTGACTGTTAAATATTTGAGGTCTTCAGAGTGGCCGAAGATGTCTCAAGCATTTTGATCTATTTTCGTAGGCAATGCATTCCGAATTCCCCTGACAGTCGTTCGCCAGACACTTTCTGTCCCGTAATCAAGATTGACGTGGCAAACAGGCCGAGCGGAAAGTGTCACAACGAATGATGGATGCCCTGAAAAGGATTTATGCCTCTCAGCATCCTGAGAAAAGGATTTATTAGGCGCCGAAATGTAGGCAACACTGGCCGCTCTCGAAAAAGTAGGCAACACTTGGTGGACACCTACAGACGCGGTCAAAATAGTAGAACTAGACTGGAGGAAGAAACTCAATGTAGTTAAATCTATACAAATTGGGAAAAAGTATTAAGATCAGATTTGTACAAACTGAAAACATTTATTAAATTGTACGGAAAACATATTTATTTTCTAAGGGCCTAGTGCGTCGTACCCGAATTGTCTTGAAGGTGGATCCTCACCTGCTGGCAGGCACATGAGGCCTTGAGTTATTGCGCCGGAGATTGCAACTGTGATTGCTGCTGCAGCTGCAACATGCAGCTGATGTTGCTGGCGGAGCACGTGACCACCCAAATGGGAATGGGCCCCCGAAGACTCGCTATATTTAGGCATATGTGCGCCTCGATTTGCTGTCACAAGCAATAAACGATGCACCCACGTCAACGCACGGCTGCAGCAACTGTTGCAGGCACGACAGCAACATCAGCAGCACAGCAGCAACATCAGCGGCACAGCAGCAACGGCAATGGCAACGGCAACAGCGACATCAACGACGTCAACATTGGCCTAGTCACGTTTTGATTCGCTCCCCATTCGTTTATTCTCGCTCCTCTCAGTTCGTATCATTTGATTTCTGTTGCCTTTGTTCACTTGCTCCCCGAAGTCAAATGAAAATTTGGGGTATGTTCAAATATAGCCCATGATGGAACTTCTCTAGTTCTAGGCAGAAAAATATATTTAGCTCAGCTAGAAAATGTGAAAAATCCATTTATTTATTTACCTAATTTGCAAGAGATTTTAAACCTCCTAAAAAAGAGTTTTAAGATGTTATAAAAGAGGGATAAAATAAAGGCAATTTCTACTGAAATCTTATTGGAATAAGTCTACAATTTAGCTGTAATAAATGTTGAATTTACATAATTGGAATTTCCGAAAAATGTGAGAATAAGTTTGGATTTTCGGTATAATCAAATTTTAATTACTTTATGTTATGTCTTTAAAGTTACGTTTAAAATAAGTTAACTTTTCGGTATAATTAAATACCTTTTAATTACTTTATGTTATGTCTTTTAAGTTATGTTTAAAATAAGTTAACTTTTAAAATTTAGAATGAGGCTAAACAACAAGAATGTATTTCACAAGGTAATTGCGCTGCGACTCCTGCAATTGAAGCCTTAATACTTGCTTTTCAATTTGAGCTGGACAAACGAAAAAAAGAACAAAAAAAGCTGGAGAAAAAACTGTGAGAAAACTGTGCCAACATCGGCCTGCAGTGTTTAATTGTAGTCACTGACTTGCGGAATGACTGACTGACTGACTAACTGACTGACTGACTGACTGACTGACTGACTGACTGACCTATTTTCAATGTAATGCGGTCAAATGCGCCGCTTGTGCTCCTCACGTTCATAAATCAAATGCCGCCTCACACAGACACTCTCATATGCACATTGGTGTTTGTTTTGGCCAAACAAAAAATCAGCAGGATTCATAAATCAGGAAAAATCACTCGAAGGGTTCGCAGATGTTTACCGGGCCCAGTTGAAGTTTATTTCCGAGATCGTAAATAAGAGAATGTATGGCGAAAATGTAAGAGTGGGTTTGTTTAAGAAAACAATTTTAACTCAGCACTTAGGTTTTCGTTTTTATGATTTTTGTAAACCAGGCATTATTTGTTTGAAAGTCCCCTTTAAATTTATTTTGGGGATCCTAAAGAAAAAAGCTTTATTGAAAAATGTGACAAAACTAGTAACCAATTAAATTTTTGTTGAGCCCTTTGGTCGAATACTTTTTGTGAACTATCAGACGAGGTTTATGGACAATTTATCTGTTATTTTAAAAATTTTATTATATTTTGTCAGCAAGGAATTCCTTACAATAGTTTTAGAAAACAAAACTTGACTTTAGAAATCCCTGAACTTCGGCACCTTTAATTCCGATAAGGCGGCTAATCTTTGTTGTTTGTTTGCCAAACTATAATCTTTCTCCTCTGAATTTGATACGGATCTGGGCCTAGCACGTCCGACGATCAAGCGGCGTTGAGAGTAGACCGGCAACTGGGGGCGAAATCGAAACTGCAACTTAGCTCAAGTATCAGCTATATGCTATTTGCCATTTTCTATATGCTATGTGCGGTCATAATGAGCTGCAACAACAGAGTGCCGCCAAAGGCGGGAAATATAAGGAAATATAAAAAGGAGAGGGAAGAAAAAGCAGAGCAACAAGTAAGTGGAAAAGGGAAACAATGCTAATGAGAACAAAAGATGCAACAAAGGCAGAATTTAAAACAACAGCGGCAACACCTGTGAGTGCAATATAAATTTAAATGTGCACCAGCAACACCAGGAAAAAACAATTTAAAATGCATCACAAACAGCGGTACAATTTTTGGAATATATTCAACGACAACTTTGTTGTGCTAAATAAATAAACAGTTTGCGTTTAAGCAGACAGACGGATCGACTCGCCTGGTGATGCTGATCAAGAATATATATACTTTATAGGGTCGAAAATGTGCCCTTCACTGCCCTGCTAACTATTTACTGAAATAATAATACGCTCTGCAAGGGTAAACATTTTAGAGGCTAGGCAAGGATAACAGAATAGGGAATAGGGTCAGGTTGGATTAAACTAATTTAAAGGGAATTTTCGATAAGTCACTGCCTGGATCGCCACATTAATAATAAAACAAAAAAAATAATGAGACAAAAGGCCGTGCCCACAACCAACGCACTTCTCCTATATATCAATACCCAACAATATAAAGCATGCAACATTCCAAATACAACACTCTACATGCAACATGCAACATTCAACATGCAACATTCAAAATACAACATGCAAACATGCAACATGCAAACATGCAACATGCAACATGCAACATTCAACATGCAACATGCAACATTCAACATGCAAAATGCAGCATGCAACATGCAACATGCAACATGCAACATGCAACATGCAACATGCAACATGCAACAATAAACATTTAGCAATCAACAGCCAACACTCAACTATCAACAATCAACATTCAAGAACCAACAATTAATCATTAATCATTAATCATTACAATAAGTAATCACCAACCAACACTCAACAATTTACAATCAACAATCAATTGGGTTGTACACCAGGATGCAGGATCAAGGACCTCTCAAGGTTTGTAGATCAAATTATTGTATATTAATTCACTTAATGAGTAATATAAATTCTAATTCCAGAATATATGTGTTTGTGTGTATGTAATTGAGGAGCGGTTGCAAGAGGCCCACATCAATACCATCATTCTTTGACTGGATGCACTGCATCAAGGATTTAACGTGGTATGTACCATTATATTGGGCGACTTTGAAATCGGATGTGTGTAAGAAAAGTTGTAGGCCTACAAGTCCCGTATTTGCGGTACGCCATTTTTCAAAATTTTGAAGAGCATCGTGAAAAATAAAGAAATATCGACCAAAAAATGCAAACCAAGATTTGAACACATATTTTTAGAGAATTAAACCACAATCATTTTGAGGTATACCAAAGCAAAGTTATGGGCTTAGAAGTGCAGGTTTTAGGTTACGTTTCTGCAAACCCATTTTTCGAAAATTTGGATATTACATCATTGAAAATGACGAAAAATCGACCCAAAAAAAAGTATACTAAAAACACAGATTTTTAGGAAATTGAACCACAATCATTTTAAGATATGCCATTTTAAAATAGGATGTTTTTAAGAAAAGTTATGGTCTTAGAAGTGCAGGTTTTGGGCCACTTTTCTGCAAGCCCATAAGAAGTGCAGGTTTTAGGTCACTTTTCTGCAAGCCCATTTTTCGAAAATTTGGAAATCATTGAACATGAACATGAAAAATCGACCAAAAAAAAAAAATAAAGTGAAAACACAGATTTTTAGGAAATTGAACCACAATCATTTTAAGATATGCCACTTTGAAATCGGATGTCTGTTAGAAAAGTTGTGCGCTTAGAAGTGCAGATTTTGGACACTTTTCTGCAAAGCCATTTTTCGAAATGTGACTGAAACAAAGACAACTGCATAAAATAAGTGAACAATTTAAAACCACATTACAGCAGAGCCTCATGAAGGTAAACATAAAATAACCACCAGCAGCACTGAGAGATGCACCAAGGACAACTTTTAAACAAATATAATACAATCCAGCAGCAACAGGTTGAAAATACAACGACAACAACTACATTTGACAGAATAAAAATGGTAAACCAAAGGGAAAGACAACAGCTTTTGAGTAACCAATTTAGAGCAGCAACATAAACCGCAAAAATACACATAAAACCGACACAAAGCCACCGCAACAAAACTGTATCAAATTAAGCAATATATATATTTATATGAGAGAGAAAAAAACTATGAAATATCGCGACTATGTAATCGCAATTGCAGCTTGTCTTCTTCAGAATTCCGCTGAATGCACAGGCATAAATTAGAGCAAATGAGAAAAGCGAATAAGTAAAAATTAAATAAACATCAGGAGAAATGAGAAAATGTCAAAGGAAAATTGCCGCAATCTATGCGAATACGAAACTCAACTTGAAAATATCCTAGGAAAACATTTGGAAAGAAATTCGAATTGTTTTTTTACCTATAAAACTACAACATTTTTTCTACTTATTTAGACGTCATTAATTTTTACGATAAGCATAACTTTATCACTTCTTTTTATTTCTTTAAAAATTAGGTTTTATAATTTCAGTAAATACTAAGTTTTTTACATTTTTAAAAAATAATTAGAATTGACTTGCCAAAGAAAATCAATTTTAGTGATTTACCTAATGGAGTGGACATTATTTGACATTTGGCTTAAATGCGCGTAACCTTAGTGATAGATTTCCCACCTGGACGAAGTGCGTCTTGTGGAAAACTGCTGAGACGCAGAAAGTGCAGACTGATGGGTGGTGCTGGGTGGAAAATGGAGGTGCATAGAAACAAAAGGAAAAAGCGCAGCTGATGACATCCGCCCGTTTTTCCTCAGCCCCCACCACTCGACTGGAAAACTAAAGTAACTTTTTGTTGTTATTTTGAATGGAGCAAAACGCTTGCGTGCATTATGAAAATCAGAATCTCTTGTCTTTCTCTGGCCTGTCAACGCAGTTATCATCTGCATCGCACACTGACAGAAATTCAATAAATATTAGTCCATTTTTTAAAACAATAGGACCTTAAAATAAATAGACTCAAAACTGAAAACATCTTCAAAAACATTTTCTGATCTTCTTGAAGAATCCCTTGACCTATACCTTATTAAATTTTACCATTTTATAACTTCTTTCGGTATTAAAATATGTTTAGAAGGGTATATAGTTGTTGTAGGTTGAAGTTGTTTAAAGTTTTTCATTTTAAAGTTTATCAGAAATGATTACTTGCATTTTTCGCAAGTACTAAAGTGCATTATTTGTTGGTTTTTTTTTATTACTAAGCGGATACGATTTATTTCGACTCTTTTCGCAGGGCTTTATGCAGATTTTAATTTTTAAGTGCCCCACTCGTCGTCACCTGTTCGAGTGGATTTTCCAGGGGGTTTTCTCCGTTTTCCGGGCAAGGAATGCTGCAGGTGGTAAAATGCCCCGTGTTTCGGTTCTCTGCCCTCTTGTCCCACGTTTTGTTTGCCTTGAATGCTTCTCTTTTGTCCATTTGAAAAGGAAAATAAAGGGAAGAAATAACGAAAATAAGAAGTAAAACTTGTGCAAATGAAGCGTTAAATTGACTGAGTGCTGAAGGAAAAGGAGGGAAAATTCGTACTGCAACTAGATTGGCAGAAGGAAACTTATTGTTGAAGTTGCTTTCGAAGTCTTTAATTGATCGAAACAAGCTGACTGGTGCGATGGTCATGCAATTTGAATGCCAAATGCAATTATTTTGTCGTGAATATGGATTTCATTTGACATCTGCCGGAAATAATTTTGTTATCAAGAGAATGGTGGGTTTTATAATGACCCAATGTTTTGACATCTGTCAGAGGCATCTGGCGATTCTAGTTTAAGAAATTCGATAATATTTAATGCAGAAACCTCTTTTTCTGTCCGGGAATTCGTTGTTCGTTCCCTTTCCAATTTCTCAGTTCAGCGCAATTTGAGCAATTTTTATGCTTCACGAGTGTTCACTTCTTTGAGGTACCCTGCATTTAGGGTATTTGAGGGAGTATTTTAGGCTAATAGATATTTGGGGTTTCAGGAATAAAATATTTGATTTTACTATGTACAAAAATAAAATCACCATCACAATTTTGCTAAGGCGAACCCTTCTTGGAATATTTAATAAATTAAAGGATTATTTTTAAAGTGCTGTTTTTTTCTTTTACTGTTCACCTACAGCTCCTATCTAAACACTTTTTTACAGGGTATTCAGAGTGCCTTGTATTTGCCTCCTTTTGTCTTTCACTTTCGGACATGCATGCCATATATATTTTTTATGACTGTCAGTTGTGCCGCGTTTGGCAACAAAATTTGTTTAAACGAAGCGCCGGCAGGGAGAAAAATCAATTTTTTATTGGCCTGTTGCTTCAGTTGGCTGCTGGTTTGGCTTTGTTTAGATTCTATCCAAATTTATTAGCAGGCAGCGCTTTATTACTGCTCTTGGCCCAAGCGGTTGACAGGCCCCAAAGATTGCACACGAAAAAAAAAGGAATTTATAATCTTAAATTTGATATCCATGACTCTT